TTCAAACGGTGACCATTTACCTTAAAAATCTTCCGTTTTCTCACTTGTGATTTCTATTGCACCATGCTCAAAAACATTAGTGACAACAAATGGTCCACCCAACGGGACCTTAATTTACCAGGAATCAATTTAAAACGCGAATGGTAAAGTAGTACCTTTTGACCTTTGTGAAATACCTTGCGTGTAATCATCTTGTCATGGAATGCTCTAGTCTTTTCCTTATAAAGAACCTCATTCTCATACGCTTCATTGCGGATTTCTTCCAATTCTTGTATGTCCAGCTTCCTCTTCTTTCCCGATTCACTTAAATCCATGTTGAACTGCTTGACTGCCCAATATGCCCTATGTTCCAACTCAACGGGTAATCGACACGGCTTTCCATAAACAATACGATATGGCGACATTCCAATTGGAGTTTTGTATGCAGTGCGGTACGCCCACAAAGCATCATCAAGGCGTGTACTCCAATCTTTCCTTGTTGTATTCACGGTTTTCTCCAAAATGCCCTTGATTTGTCGATTGCTCACCTCAGCTTGTCCATTTGTTTGTGGGTGGTATGCTGTGGAAACTTTATGAGTGACACCATATTTCTTCAAAACACTCCCGAGTATACGATTACAAAAATGTGTACCACGATCACTGATCAAGGCCTTTGGAACACCAAATCTGGAAAAAATGTTAGCCTTCAAGAAATCTATCACAACTTTTGAATCGTTAGTACGGGTAGCCTTTGCTTCCACCCACTTGGAAACATAGTCCACAAGCCAAAAGAATATAAATAAAACCCGAAGATGATGGAAAAGGTCCCATAAAATCAATGCCCCAAACATCAAAAATTTCACAAACTAATATGGGGTTTAAGGGCATTTGATTCTTTGAGCTTAAAGAGCCCATTCGTTGACATTTATCACAGCTTGAGCAAAAAACATAAGAGTCATGGAAAATACTTGGCCAGTAAAATCCACTCTCTAAAACTTTTCTTGCAGTCCTTTGAGGACCAAAATGTCCTCCACAAGCATAAGAGTGACAAAATGTTAAGATAGAAGCTACCTCATATTGATCCACACATCGTCTAATCATTTGGTCAGCACAATATTTCCACAAATATGGCTCATCCCAAACATACCTCTTGGCTTCTTTCTTGATCTTGTCTTTTTGCCATCGAGTTAAATCTGGTGGAAATTGATTTGTGACAATGTAGTTCACAATATCGGCATACCACGGGGCAACTTTTGCTGAAAACAGATTTTCATCGGGAAATGCATCATGAATGGGAGTTGAATCTTCGGGAGAAACAATCCTGCTAAGATGATCAGCTACAAGATTTGACTTTCCGCTCTTGTCTTTGATTTCAATGTCAAACTCTTGCAAGAGTAATACCCATCGAATGAGTCTAGGCTTCGAATCTTTCTTTGCAAGTAAATACCTAATAGCTGCATGATCAGAATAAACAATGACTTTAGAACCTAGCAGATATTGACGAAATTTGTCTAAAGCAAAGACAATAGATAACAATTCTTTTTCAGTTGTTGAATAATTGGCTTGTGCACTATCAAGTGTTTTTGAAGCATAATAAATGACATTAGGAACACGGTCTTTTCTTTGCCCTAACACTGCACCAACTGCGTGATTACTGGCATCACACATGATTTCAAAAGGCAAACTCCAATCCGGTGATTGAAGTATTGGTGC